CATTCTTACATATAAAGAAATATAAAATATAAGAAAAACTATTACTAAAAAGAAGAAAATCTGCTAATTAGGTGAAAATTTCTAACTATACAAATTAATGAACTACTATTAAGTGCGAGAGTCTTGACTGCACTATAACTTGTGCCAGAGTTTAAAAATTACATACTAGATACTAGACAAAGTAGTCTCAACTTCTTTATTTGTCTATCTAGTATATCAAAATAAAAACCTAATAGGAAAAACTTCATTGACTAGCTTAATTGTAGAGAGGTTGGAGCTGAGTCTCAGAGCATCATTTGTACAGATATCTATTGCATTTGAGGTACATATATATATGTGTTTGTTGTTTTGTTCCTATTTGCAAGTTAAACAATACAACCTGTTTGGTACATATAATGTTGATTATTTGGATACGTATCACTTTACTGACAATCACTTCACTGACATCTTAGTTCACTGACAATTAATTCACTAACAAGTTCATTTCACTGACAATTAATTTACCGACAAGTTCATTTCACCGACAAGCTTTTTTTATAACCTATACTAAACTTAACTAAAATCTAGTCTGACCTTAACGGAAATAGCCAGAATTTCTTTGTCTGTGAAATGAGCTGTGGCGAATTAATTGTCAGTGAAATGAACTTGTTAGTAAATTAATTGTTGGTGAACTAAGCTGTCGACAAAGTAATTGTTGGTGAAATGAGCACCACCCGATTATTTAATGGTGTAAACTAAAATTCCCACTTTTTACAAAATTTCTTTAAAAAAAATAATGGCTAATAAAAGTATATGAGGTTCTTCTTATAAGTTTTATAGTTGTATAGTCCATCTTCTCTATTTCTATCAACTTAGAAGTGCATATTAGCTACTTCTACTGACTTGTTTTTAGAATAATCCTTCTGGTTTGAATGCTGAATACTCTGAGGAGTCTATTAAAAAAAAAATTCAACTCCAAAGAAACCATCCATTCTTTTGATGTCTGCTCCTCAATGTATTATGTCTAGATGCTTAGACTTTATCAACAACAAGCTGCTTCTACTTATAGAACCAAGTAGAGCTAGAATCCCTGAATATTTATGAATAAAATGAATATTCAATTAGGATGTGAATATTCTGTTACACAAACCTGTGAATAATCAAGTATTTTTTAAGAATATTCTGTGCGAATAATCTATATGAATATTTACATAAATATCTGTATAAATATTCTATATAAATAATCTATATAAAATATTCATATAAATATTTGTGTGAATATTCTGTATGAATAGTCTATATAAATATTTATATAAATATCTATATGAATATTCATATAAATATCTATGAGTATTCTGTGTGAATATTTGATGAATATCTGTGTGAATATTCAATGAATATCTGTATGAATATTCAATGAATTTCTATTTAAACCTCTATCTACCATAAAATTGCTGCATAAACCACTCTGGGTCTGTTACTTTAAACCTGTATGAAAATTGATTCAGACCCAAGAGGTCTGCTATATGAAGAAGGGCCTGCTATTAGAAGGGTTTGTTGCATCGCTCATAAAAAAAATACAGCTGACATCACTTGTAAATTAAAGTTGAGTAATTATGTAAATTAAAAAAATCATGTGATATATACAAAATACTATATATACAATTGAAGGTATGGCATCAGCTGTATTTTTTTTATGGGCAATGCTAGGACTGTTAGTCGGCTGTGCAGTAAAAAGATTATTGGCCAATTAAAATCAAGCAATCCTATAATGGATATATAATACATGACCACATAATAAACCTGGGTCTTATACTTTTTATCTTTCTCTAAACCCAAGGGTCTGCTAGAAGGGGGTCTTCGATGGTTTATGCAGCAATTTACATGCTAAACTAATTGCGAGTCAAGTTTGCAGATTATTTGGCTAAGTTCAAAGTTTTTGATCCCAAATCTGGCTAAATAATCTGCAAATTTGGTCAGAATTATAAGTAATCGGTTCCATTATTTAGAAATTAGGTCTTATAAAAAAAACTTTGTACAAAATAGTGATGCAGATAATACTTCTGACAAAACTTGATAAAATATAAGTGATCTACTTACTTAATAGTTAAACAAGCATACTAACTGGCTAAATAATAATAAATAAAAAAAAAATTTAATTGCAGTTTAAATGCCAACATAAAGTAAGCAAACATGCTTTTATTAGTTTAGACCATTTTTTAACGAATCTACTATTATGATCTCTTATACCAAATCTCATATTCTGTATCTTATATATGCAACTACTTGATCTAGAACTTGGATATTTCTTATTACACACCGCTCACACCACTATTCTATAAAAAAAATCCTTCTCGACTTTGGTAAACAAGTAATATATTACAAGTTTTTATTCACACCTAAGCTTTTGTAGTCTAAAAAAAAAATTTTAAAATTAATTAGCTACACATACTATAATTTATATGTTCTTTATCTTTTTTTTTTTGATAATTTCTAAGTAATGTATACACTAAAAATTATATAAATTATTGTCTTACATTGCTAAAACTTCGTTTTTTTTTGATAATTTCTATGTAATGTGTACACTAAAAATTATATAAATTATTGTTTTACCTTGCCAAAACATCATTTCAAAAGTTTTTACATTTTTTTTCATACGACGAACAAAATTTTGGTATGTAACAACTTAGTATTTTTAAATCCGTATAACTTCGGTAAGTAAATCATACTATGAAAGTTGGTGAATTCAGATGGATTCAGCGAATATGTTGTAGAGGCAGAACGAAAGCATCAAGTTTACTTGCCACTTTTGTCAAGGGGTTAAGCTTCCGAAAAAAGTATTGTAAAACATATAAAAAAAATTTTTTATCAATTGAAAATCTTGTGTAATATGAACTGTTCTACCTCACCTAAAATCAAAGTTTTATCGCTTTCCATTAATATGTACTATGCATATTTATTGAAATATATAATGATAAGCTTATACGCATATACAAAAAATTAGAATGTTCTATTTTACTTATGCAAAAAAGTCGGAATTTTTTTTTCCATGCAGATTTGGATGTAACTCAAAATGTTCTAATTACAGTACTCTTAATTGTAATCAAACATTCTATCTACTACAGGACCATTCTTTTTTAGAAAAATCAAATTTTCAAACACTCCGGTTTTAAGCTGATCCTTTTATTCGTCATAATATTGCCCGCATCACTAAAAAGCCTCTCACTTGCAGCCAACGTTGCTTGTACAGCAAGATATTTTCTTGCAATTTGAAAAAGAACAACAAAATTTTTTTTATTATCTTTCCACCAAGTGTAAGCATTTTGATCTTTAGGAATTTCTTGTAATGCCAAATATCTATCGACTTCATCAACATCATCAGAATTACAAGAATCAAACAAACTTTCGTCAAACAAACTTTCACCATATAATTTTGTTTTTACCTTTTTTTTTAAGGGCTCACTTTCCTGTCTTACAGGTAAGCTTGTTATATAACATTTGGAACTTTCTTAATATAGACGATGCAGTTCGTTAATTGTTTCACCTTTTTTTGCTTTGGTTATAAATGATAGATTTTTCCAATGTAGATCTAAAAGTGAAGCAACAAGACCATCAAGCTCCAAATCTTCATAATAAATATTTATTGCATGGTAAAGTTTATCTTTAATTACATCAATTAATCCAGATGTATTAACCGGATTATTAATTTTGATCCTTTTTACTTTTGGTTCATCGTCTTCCTCATCATCTTCAATTTGTAGTTTATCAAATGCATCCTCAAATTCATCTTGACTATCATAATCGTTTTCATTAATAGGCTCAAAAGAACAACTCAATCTTGACTTAATTTTTTATATCGCAGGGTATACATAACTTATGGTCAAATATTTGCTTCCCTCTAGCTTTTCAATAGTTTCAGCAAACAGACCTAGGAGTGGTATTCCAAATTGAATTTTAAAAATTGATTAAAATCAATTATTGTCAATTAATCGATTAGTCAATTAATTGATTAATTGACTAATCGATTAGTTGACATCAAAATAGCTTAAATACAATCTTAATTAATCGATTAATTTTTTTTTTTTTTTAATCTTCAAAGGTGAGATAATCGATTAATTTAATAAATTATCAATTGATTAGTTGTCAAGTTGTCAACTTGATCAACTAAATGATTAATCAATTTTAGATTTGAAACACTACCTAGAATTGGCATAACCCCTTCGTTGAATGACTATTCTTCAGAAGTTAGATTAATTTTTCTAACTGCTTTCCATCTTTTTTTGTTTCCATATCAGCATTCTTTATATTTATTATTGTAGACAAAATATCAATAAATGGCCTTAAAATTAACAAACGACCCTATGCATTGAAGGTACTTGACCATCGCGGTTTACAGTCAGTAAGTGCACAATAAAAAATTAACTGTGATTCATTTATTGATGCTAATTGTGATTCATTTACTGACTCAATATTTGTACTTATAGAGTATTGTTTTTGAACATTAATTAGGCGCACACTTTGTTTAGGACAGGTAAAAAAGTTAATTAATCTTCTTGCCCTTGCAATTAGAACTCTAGCTAGCAACATTCCTTTCCCGACTACTAATTGAATAGTATGTGCTGCGCACGAGACCCTTTTGAGCCAAGAAATTTGGTTAAGTGCTTTTTTCATATTGGTGCCATTATCAGTGGTACAGCAAAATACTTTATCTTTTAACTTCTATTTAGTTATAATCGTTTCTAGAGCTTCTTGAATATGATCACCGGTATGAGGGTGCAGGAGATTTTTAATCATTAAGATAACTTCTTTTAACTCAAAATTGGGTGTTATTAAATGTGCAGTGACTCCAAAAAATTTCATCTTAGAGCGAGAGGTTCATAAATTGCATGTAAGTGATACTCAGCTTGCTTCATACTCTAATAATTCTGAAATTTTTAAACTAACATAGTTTTTATACTCAAAGATCTTATTCTTAAATTTTTTACGATTAGGAATATCGAATGCTAGAATGGAGTTATTAATAAACCGTTGAAATGAAGAAGATTCAAGCATACATAAAGGCAGAGCATCTAAAACAATCTATTCATAAAGAAGTAACTCAAGGTAATTTTGCCATTCTTTGGTCATTGTCGTGAAAGCTTCACTCTGATTAGTTGGTCTTTCAGGCACGGGTTTTTTTTTGAATATTTGATGTATGACTGCTAAGTGATTAATAATATTTCTAGTTGGACACTTTGTTGTAATTTTAGCATCACAGTCTTTTCCATTTGGTAACTTGTTGGTACATATATAGATTCTTCCACTTTGGTCTGGTAATTCTTGATATTCGCCCCATTCCCAAACCCAACTAATTAATTTTAATCCTTTTTTAGATCTTTTTGTTATTTTTTTTGTTTGGTTTGTTGATAAAGACGCAGGAGGAGATATATCTGAAGAGAAAGATGAAGACATAACGAAGATGCTATTATTTTACTCCCAATAAGACAAATCTACTTATATTTATTATTATTAGATTGGTGTAAGAGAAATTCGATAAATTAAATTCAAGTTTTTATCTGATAATGTGAGGTAATTATGATAGCTTATTAGAGCTGCAGACATATTGTTGTAATTAGTTATGACCTACTTTAAACTAAATTTTTTACATTAAGATAATTAGGTTACAATCTAATTATGATAATATGTTTCCATCTCTAGGTTTATCACAGTTTTTAAAATGGTTGACACTAAAATATTTTGTATATTCACTATATACTGATATAAAATCATCTAATACTAAAAAATTTTTTTGTATATTTTAAATATATTAGTTATATTTATAGTATACAAAAAACTTTTTTAGAGTTAGAGGATTCTATATCAGTATATAGTGAGTATACAAAATATTTTAGTGTCAACCATTTTGAAAACTGTGATAATACTATAAAGATGTTTTTAAAAAATGCTTAGAAAGGTTTCATACATATTATGATCTAAATAAATATTAATATTTACAGCCTGATTAGATTTGGAATATCAATAATATAATCTAATCCTAATGTTTTTCTATGCTTTTAAAGTCTAAAGTCAACTCTTAAGTAAATTCTACTATATTTGTTTTATAATAATGTGCTTTAATTTGATTAGCATTTATATTTGAAAACTGTATAAAAAGTAAATCATTTTTAATAAAAGATAAAGTATATTTATTAATTATCATAGCAGCTGATGCTGGAATTTAGAATTCCCATTTAATTTTATATAAACTATATTAAAATTTCAGCATCAACCAATTTCAGCTTCAGTTGCCACAATTATTATTAAAAAAATTAGTGTGTATTACTTGTAACAAAATATTAATAATTTAAGCAATTAATGAGCATTACATTATATAGTTTAAAGATGTGTCATTATTGGTGCTTCTTGTGAATATGTGTTAATTATATTGGCAAGTAGTAAAGAATTAAAGTTAATGATGCTGGTATTGCAAAAACATATTTGAGTATATTTGTATAATATATTTAAAGAAGCATTCATAATTTATAATAAAATACTTTTAAATTCATGACTAATACCTTGAAAAAATATAACTTTCTGATAATTTAAATCAGATAATATCTTGGACCACTTTCTTTCTTTTATTAAGTTCCCATGCTGCAAAATATATTTATTTGATTTATAACTAACTAGTAGATTAAGTATTTTTAACAAGTATTATGAAAATTAAATTGATGTCAATAATAAACCACCTTTGTATATATGTAAAAATTCTATAAATTGTTTATTAAGTAGCCTTAATCAATTAACACCACAAATCAGTATAGCTAATAAGTTTTGTTCACCTGCAAGTGGGATTTTTTTAATAAGAGTACAACCTGAGATTTGTTTTTTAAAAGAACTTTTATATATTCACTATTCTTTATTAAAAGGTGTATTAGCTATAAATCAAGTTTATAAATAAATAATTTGTTGTTCCTTGTTTTGATTCTATAAATTTATAATACTCATCAGAGTTTTTAGATAAGTTAATCACTTTATAAGTTTCAGAAAACCTTCTTTCTTTTTTATTAAAAGTTGTGGCAATTAGATGAGCAGTTAATTTATGATTGATAAAATAAATTAATACATAAGAAATATTAGCATTATTTTTGTTTAGTATTTTCATTATAATACTGCATGCATACTTTAAAGATTTAATCTCTTCAATAAATATTATATAAACATTAAGTTAATGAAAGAAAATAAACCAATAAAATTTAATAATCTTATATTGTAATTATAATTACTAATCAGAAGTCTAGCAACCAATCTCACTAAACATTTTTAGTCTTCGAGTATACAAAACTTTTTGAGTAGTATTTAGAGCAAATTAATTATACTATAGACTAGGCTAACTAATTTGAAAATCAAGCTCATTGTATAATTAAAGTACATTTCTTTGAGATATATAATAGATTGTGATTGATAAACTAGTGCTTCAAAGTATTGATTATTTTGAAACATGTCCTTGCCTGTTGTTTTTATACTATATATATATAATTGCATTTAAGTGAAGTTTAAAAATTAATTTCAAAAGTATTGATTAACTTACTTTTCAAATTATGAAATAATAAAATCTATAAAATCATGATGTTTGTCTTTATATAAAACTTCTTTCACTGATTTTCCTATTGCTATTTAATATTTAAATGAGTATTAAGCTTGGCAAATTATTAAGTATATAGACACAAAATTATATAGTTAACTGTTTGGATAATTATACAACATTGGCCAAAATGCTATATAAATAATATAAATAGTTTTTTAAACTAATCAAATTTATAAAACAATTATTTCTAAAACTACTGTATTTACCTTTATTATATATCATAATTCAATTGGGTTAAAGTAGAGACAAATAGGAAATTTGTACAAATTCTAATATTGATATACAAGATTTCATAAATATTAATAAAAAGTTGTACTTTTTTTAAGAACATAACTATAAATTTACTAAAGTATTTTTAATTGCAGAATCCTATGAGTCTATAAGGCCAAGTAAAGTTTTTGACTAATTATAAACATAGATAAAAGTGGATATCATTATTATTATAGGTTAAAGGCAATGATATATAAATTAGAAATGAATGACAAGGCTATCAAGACAAATAGTAGGAAAGAATTCATAATAATAGTGAAAAGATAACTTATTAATAGCTAATTTGTTAAAAAAATAGCTAAGCATCTTATTAATACATAGCAATTTGTTTAGAAAATGGCTATATACAAAAAATTTTGATGTTTATAATATTTGGATTATTGAATTTTATAGTATTACTACTAATACTCAACCTTGTTAAGGTAATGAATATTCTTGCAAAGAGCATTAACTAATGTTTTTCTACCTTCTGATTCAGGTTTATTATCTTTAAGACCCAATGCTATTAAGGTAATGTTCTTATAAAGAGTATCAGCTAATACTTTTCCACCTTTTGATTCAAGATTATTCTAACTAATATATAACTTTGTTAAGGTAGGCTCTTGCAAAGAGCATTAGCTATGCTTTTCTACATTCTGATCCAAGATTATTTGATTAAAGAACCAACTCCATTAAGATAGTATTCTTGCAAAGAGCATCAGCTAATGCTTTTCCAATGTCTGATCTAAGATTATTTAAAGAAAGATACAATACTGTTAAGGTAGTGTTCTTGCAAAGAGTATCAGTTAATGCTTTTCCACCTTCTGATCTAAGATTATTATTGTAAAGATTTAATGTTGCTAAGGTAGTGTTCTTACAAAATGCATCAGCTAATGCTTTTTCAACATCTGATTCAAGATCATTCGAAGAAAGATCCAACTCTGTTAAAGTAGTGTTTTTCAAAGTGCTATGATTAACTTGTTTATTTTTTCAAATTTATAACAATTAGAATTAAGATCCCAAGATGAAGCATTCTTTTTATCATTATTAGTATGCTGACTATTCTTGAGGATTTTTTTATAAAGTTCTAATACTTTGAGAAATCTGCCTTGGCTAAAAGATTCATGTGCTCCTTTTCTCATATTTTTAATATTGCAATCTTGTATTGAAGTATTGCATTAGATAAAGATAAAAGGCTTGAGCTTGCTATATCAAACAAAGATGAATCAGATAAATAAAGTGGAGCTGATATTATAATTTGAAGTGAGTTTATATCTTGATTTAAAGAAAAGGTTTTATTATTTTTAATTTATGATTTATTAGAAATAGATTATCCAAAGATTCCTTGAAATAATTTGATTTAAAAAATTAACAGAATTAAATTTTTTTAAAGTTTAGTTAAACTGTTAGTTAGCTTATTATTTTTAATTAAGTTATTTGTTGCTTTAAATCATTATCAGTGAATTGTTTTAAAATATCAAAAACTTCTTTTGTTCCTGGATGATTAGCAGAGTCGCAATCCTAACATCTTTTGTTAAATTCATTATATTGAAATGGTATACCTTTAACAAGCTCTTCTTTATTTTTTGTGCTATGTCAAAACAAGTGTATATTCTAATTCAAAGGTTTGGTATAGTGTTATTCCACTTAAAATTTTCCAGAGAATTATACCAAAGCTATAGACATCAGATTTTTTATCACACTTATATTTGTGATTGATAATATACTGAGGTTTGATATATTAGATATTAAGCTTTTATATTATAGTTGTAGAAATATGAAAAGTTAGTATTATACTAGGAAATAATACTTTATCTATTGGACCTCCTCTTTCTCTCTCTATAACTAATAGTAGCTAGTCTTAAAATAGTTTGCAAATAGAAAATTAAGAGGTGATTTGCTACACTCAGGTGGTTATACAAGATACAATAGATAGTTTAAATTAATATCATCTTGATATAAATCAGTAACTAATCTTATTATGTATATAGCAAATTCAAAAAAAAAAAAAAATACTAGAAAATAATACAGAGGAGTAATGCAAAGTAGTAATGTAATAAATACTTCTTTAATAAAATCTTTTAATAATTTAATTTATTTTGTGTCAATTTTAAAATTGATTATCTCAAGCGTATTTGTACAATAATCATAATTCGTACAATGATCATAATTCATCAATAATTGTAATTTGTGTAATAATTGTGACGATTGTGATTTATACAATAATCATAATGATCAAATAATTGTGACAAACATAAACTATAACATAACTATGGTGTAAATATTAGGCAATAATGTAGAATGGTGGGATCAAACATAATTATAGATAAGAAATATAATCATAAAAGATTAGTAAAAAGCAATATATAAATGTAATAGAGATATAAGTAATAAAGATACTTTACCTTTTACTTAATTATATTGATGTTATATTATAGTATATAATATAAATATTATATATAAATAATGCAGAATATTGACATTACAAAATATAAATAATATAAATTATAAACAACACGAAACATAAACATGATTCATGTTCTTTACAATTATGTTTAGTTGTTTTTATTTTGTT